TGGCTTCAGAAGATTTTTTTATGATACTGTTATGGTGTTTTATGTCTCTTTTGGGGATTGAGCAGCATGAAGATTCTACTAAACGTCTCTTTGTGTGTTCCACGAAACAAAGCGAGACAGATTTGGAAGGACATGAGCGAATGATGACAGAAAGTTCCTTTGCTCTGAACCGTTCCTTTAAAGCTGGATGTGAGATCTGATGGTTTTTAAGTGTTTTTTTCCCCTGTCCTCAGTGGCTTGATGTTTACACAGCGTCCAATTCCTGCCCAAATCTCATCAGGATCTTTCAACTAAAATGGGTTTCTGCCAGCAGGACGTTCTGACTAATGAGAACGACGTCCCAGTTCAGCTGGAAACACACACACACACACGCACGCACGCACGCGCGCACGCACACACACACACACACACACACACACAACACACACACACACACACACGCACAAGCTGAGCGTTTAAAGAAGTGTTTGCTTTTATAAACAGTGCTAATTGACAGCATGTCACTGTTTCATTTAAAGTAACAGACGTGTTTTGTTGTCTTGTGTGTTTCAGGTGGTGCTTGTCTTTGCTCTGAGCATCGGAGCACTTGTGATTTACTTCTTCGACTCCTCAAAGTGAGTATATGTCTTATTTTATTCCTGTGCATTTACATTCAGGATTCAAAATTAACCACCAACTTCAACAAATGCAAGTAATTAAAATGCAAAATATAAAATGGCTCAGTAGTTGACTATAATACATGCTTTAAATTGAATAATAAAAGTCAAAACATTCATGAATTTTCATTGTAAACAATTTCTTCAGTGAGTAAATCTGGCTTTCATTTAACTTGAATGTTCTGGTCTAGTCAAATGGACGTTTTGACAGTGATTTGTTTTGCATTTATTATGAATAAGCCTTTGACATGTTCAAATGTTATAATTTTATTTTTAATTTTTAAAGGATTTTTTTTTCTTTTAAAAGTTAAAATTAAAGTTTTATGCATTCATATAGTTGTCAGTGTTTTGAATAATACATTTGTATTAAACAGGGTTATTATAGTTGAATAAAAATAAATTAAATAAATCAAAATAACTGAAAGAAATTAAAATGAAAAAAAAAAAACTTAAACATATTAATTTCAGCTAGTTGCCAAGGCATCATTTCTCATTTTTCATTTTATTTAACTTGATGGTCTAAAATATCTAAAACTAAAACTGAAATAATAAATAATGAAAACTATAGACATATTTAAGAAAAAAAAACCTAACAAAAACAGCAAAATTACTAAACCTTTAACTAACATTACAATGAAAGTAGAAAACATAAAAATAAAAAGCAATTGAAAATCTTAATAAAAACTATAATAGTATCTCAATGATACCAAAACACTGGTATTAAATCATGAAACACATAATTTCCAGAAGAATTAAAATAATTTCAGAATTTCTGATAGATAGATAAATAAATAAATACATTAATTTCATATGGCACTATTAGTGTTAAGATTTTAATAAATTATAGATTTTTTTTATATTTCTATTTAGTTGATTAGGTACCTTTTTTGAGAATTAAATGTAAATTAAACCATTAATACAGAATGCAAAAAAAATTCAACAAATAAATAAATAAATAAATTGAATTTTATAGAGCTCTATAAATTATCTATCTATCTATCTATCTATCTATCTATCTATCTATCTATCTATCTATCTAAATATCTATCTATCTATCTGTCTATCATCTATCTATCTATCTATCTGTCTGTCTATCTATCTGTCTATCTATCTATCTATCTATCTATCTATCTATAAACATTTATGATACATTTTCCCAATGTTCAAAAGTTCATCGAGGACTGTATCCATGAATAAGTGATGGGGAATGTGGCGGAAGTAATCGTCCCTTGGGCTTCGACAGACAGATTTAGGAATAGAAACACAGAGAGCGAGTTTAGAGCGTCACCACTGAACATACGGGGGGCAAACTGACGTCATCAAACATCTCACACATCAGCGAGCTCATACAGGTGAAGAACGTTATGACACAACCGGTTTACGCCACGGGCAGCGCATGTTTGTTTCTCTAATGCAGTTTTTCCTCTGAATAGACTGCGATTAAAGCAGAGCCGGTCTTTACATTAAACATCAGCAGGTGCATCTGTCAGAAATCATCTGGTGGTTTAGAACTCATTAAAACAATAGTTTACAATGAGTATCTTTCCATTCACTCAAAGTACATGAGGACAGATGCCGTCAAGCTCCAAAAAAGTATTATAAAGTAGTTTATTTGACTTGTGCACTATATATTTATCATACTGTATATTAAATAATCATTTGCTGAAAATCTGAGCTCTCAAATCTCCTTCCACTGTGTTTCAATTGGTCACAGGACACACGAGAACCAATTACTTCTGGTGTCATTGACAGGTTTGGAAAGACATGACAGTGTGTAAATGATAAGGAAACCAAATTAACCTAATTGCATCACTTCAGGTTAAATACAAATGCAATTTAGTATGTATGAAATGACATTGGCAGATAGACTTACACGGAACCGTGTGTTGTGATCCTGGCTACTTTGTGTCGTCTTAAAGGATTAGTTCACACAAAAATGAAAATCCTTCAGGCCATCCAAGATTAGGATGAGTTTGTTTCTTCATCAGATTTGGAGAAATGTAGCACTGCATCAGTGTCTCAGCAATGGATGCTCTGCAGTGAATGGGTGCCGTCAGAATGAGAGTCCAAACAGCTGATAAAAACATCACAATAATCCACACCACTCCAGTCCATCAGTTAACATCTGGAGAAGACAAAAGCTGAAACAAATCTATCATTAAGACATTTTTTATTTTAAAACGGTTACTTCCGGCTAAAATAACCCTTCCTCCAGTGAAAAAGTAATCTGGTCTGAATCAGGAGAGAAATCTGCACAGATCAAGCAAGGGTGAGCATATTTTCTGCAAATATTCATTTTTGGGTTAACTATTCCTTTGAACATTATAAAAGCATAAACACATGCATAAATTTGTACTTACAAGTTTTATTTCAGTATCATAAAGATCAAAAGCAATGTCTGTTTCAGAACAGTTTTGCTTGTTTCAGTACATCTTGTTCTGACCAATTGTGTTGTAATCTTTCAGATCTTTCACATCTGTATAGCATGTCCTGTTCAGCATTAGAAACACGCACTCATGCCGTCCTGCTCAAAACAGACCTGTTGACACAGGAAGTGAGCCTTATCCTCTTCCTCATTAGTGCATCATGGGGGATTTAACAATTTCATTTGAGACTTTGGCCTCTGGCTAGCAGCGTTTAATTGTCCTGAGCGCTATAAACCTGCAGCGGGGCATCGGGTCACAGCCGCAGGACGGCATTAGAGCATGTGATGAAACCGCATTAGAATATGAGTGGGTTTGTTTGTCAGAGACACAGCAGGTACAGACGTGGGCGAGCGCCATTTCGGCCTCTCTGTAGCCTTGAATCTCAACATTTGTTTGCCTGCAAGAAGTGTGACCCAAACACATGCCACAAACTCTCCTGCGTTCATGAAGGTCCTGTGAATATCACTGATGATGAATGTTGATTGTGTGAATGAGGAAAGTGCAACAGATATATCAGAAAGGACTGCAGATAGATAGATAGATAGATAGATAGATAGATAGATAGACGGACGGGCGGATAATGAATGAATGGATGGATGGCTAGATAGGTTTATGGATGGATAATGACTGGCTGGATGAATGGATTGATGGATGGATGAATTAATTGATCAATAAATAAATGGATCAATGGATGGATGGATTATTGGATGTAGGGATGGATGGATGGATGATTGGATAGATAGATGAATGATGAATGGCTAGAAAAATTTATGGATGGATGATGAATGGCTAGATGGATGGATGGATGGTTGGATGAATGGATCAATGGCTAGATGGATGGATGAATGGATTGATGAGTGGCTGGATGGATGGATGATGAATGGCTAGATAGATGGATGGATGGATTGATGAGTGGCTGGATGGATGGATGATGAATGGATTGATGAGTGGCTGGATGGATGGATGGTGAATGGCTAGATGGATGGATGGATTGATGAGTGGCTGGATGGATGGATGATGAATGGTTACTAATTGGAAACTAATCTAACTGGCTAGATGGATGGACAAATAGATGAATGGATTGATGAATGGCTAGATGGATGGATGAATGGATTGATGGATGATTGGATGGATAGATGGTTAGATGGATGGATGAATGATGAATGATAGACGGCTGGATGATAGATAGAGAGATAGAGTTATAGATAGATAGATAGATAGATAGATAGATAGATAGTTCGATCTCTAGGTGGAAGAACACTTACTTTCATCATCTGAATTTTAATTCTAATTGAATAGGTAAATTTTCCTGTTATTCTCATTCTCGTTCAGCTTCCTGTGCTTTGGCCGATTCAGTTCAAATTCTCACTCATGTTTGCTGTGTATGTGAAGCTGGATGTGGCCTGTGACCTGAGCTTACTGTGAAGTATTACTTACGTTAAATGTCTCTTAATTAAAGCCGGGCTTGAGTTTCAGTTCAGTCGTGTCACTGAGAGCTCGGGTGCGTCTCTCTGACCCGCGGGAACAGAACCAGGCAAACAGAGCTGGATAGAGTTGCATTTCTCAGTCCTGCAGCTGTTCTGAAACTCCTTCAGGTCGAGAGTTTCACAGCTCGCTGTTCTCTCGCGGGTCCTTTGATGTTCACAGCCTTTGTACAGGAGCGTTGAATCGCTTACACTAGAGTCAAACCCAATCCACCGGAATAACAGACTGGAGCAGAAACATCAGCACACTGATCTCTGAACCGCTTCATATATATATATTTTTTCTGTATATATTTTTATGAAACTTTTTATGATTTTTATAAAAATGTATTTTTTTTGACATTTCCTCCCAAAACATTAATTTAAAAAAAAAGTTCATTGTCATTACTGTAATATGTTAAAAATATATTAAAATAAAACACATTTAAATAAAGTGTTTAGGCCTATACATAAAGGTAGTATTTGTTTTATTGCTTTTAATAAACTGTATGCTGATGTAATGTACATAAGTTGATTATATTGTTTTATTACATTATGTAGTTTAACTTTGTTTAATAAAACAATATGATTACTTGCTTTTGATATTTTATTTGAACCAATTATTATTGCCTCATTGCTATTATATATGTATTTTAAGTCATTTTAAAGTCTATTGTTCGCTTAGGTCTATTTTTATTACCACAAAAAAAA